TTTGCCTTCCATCACTTGTAAAGGATAGAGACTTTTCAATAATTGCATTTCATGAGCATAGTGGTAATATTTTCATGTCCCTCCCATGATCTGTAGTTTGTCAAAGCATGTTCTGCATGCGGTGGGTTTTAGAAATTTGTATGTTTAATGGCTAAGTTTGTGATACACTGGACCTGGGATGGAAATTATAGTTGTGTCATTTTTCGCTTCTATCAGTGTTGTCTTATGTTGTCAAAATGAATGATGACTGGGAAACCCCAATTGAATTGTAAGTCAGAGCCAGGTTTTGATCTGATTTCTTTTTGGTGGAGCACAGGAGGAGCATCCTCAGAGTGAAACATGTGGAAATGTTGGATTTAGCAGCCCAATCTGTGAGTGTACAATGTGCTGAAAACACGTAGTTAAAGGTGAGAGGGAACTGGGTTTTCCTATCTATGACATTTCTTAAGGTCCTGGTCTGGTTTTGTGCTCAGTGAAGAGAAAGAAGTTTTTAAGCCACAAGAGACTTGGGAATAAAATAAGGGGAGGTGTCCATGGCACTAATCAAGAGACTCAAAATAGTGATTTTATGTATGACTGATCTGGCTGTCTACTTACAAAAGCTTGATCTGTCTTTCTGCTTTCTTCTGATCTTAAATTTCATGAACCTGAAAGAAAGCTCCTGACAAATATTTCATCAAAGCTGAAGCGTGATTTACCAGACTTTCTGCTTTTGAAAAGCTGTCAGTTGAAATATTTTAGTCAAAAATATTAAAAATAAAAGTAGTTAAATTGCACAGAATCACAATATGTCAGGGATTGGGTAGTCAAATCCCCCTCCAGAGCAGGAACAAATTCTCTAATGGATTGCTGCAATACCATGAATTCAATGAAAAAAATCAGTGGAAGGAGAACGGAGAAGGGATGGTTTAGGTCTAGATTCATTCCATGCAATTACATTCAGTGAAAATTCCTTAATTTCACCAGGAAAAAGTCTGGAGGATCTTTCCGAGCAATAAAATTGCCCAACTAAACAAGTGTGAAGACAGCAAGTTGTGTGGGGTCTCTTGCAAATGAAGAAGAAAATTGATATAATTGATTGATAATAAGCTATTTTAATGATTGTAATACAAATTCTAAATATTTATGTGAGGCTTTCATCCTGTGAATGACTAAATGTTTCTGTATCTTTATACTTGTTTATTGGGAGGTAATTGTTTTAGATATTTTAATTGGTGACGCGGTTAAATACCATGGCATGCACACATGCTATTTTATTACTTCTAAATTGTGTGCTGTTTGTGCTCCTGGAGAGAAAATTCTACAAACTAAAGAGAATTAAAATATCTGCTTCTGAGCTTTGCAGTGTACAGCCATACACGAAGGAGATAATGCACTGACAGCTCCTTAACTGGGAAGATCTCATCAAGTCTTCTTTAAAATACGGATCTCTTTAGATGATCATTGTAAAGACAGATTTTTATTGTTATTTTAAACCTCACTTGCGACTCTGAGGCCTTGAGGATGGTGCTGAATTAGAGTTTTACTTTACAAACACTCAGTTTTATGGACACTGAAGTTGCTCGTAAGGGAGGAAATATGTAGTAAATGGAATATCTTATTTCTCTCCTTGTTTTTCTTGATCATAGAAATGAGTGTAGTGAACTGACTGTAGTGGGAAGGTCATGTTTGCTGGGATTTCCAGTAGAAAACCAGTGGGGCAGGTGTTGACTCAGTGCAACGCTGAATGATCTTGATATGTGCTCATTATCACAAGGTGTTTCAAGCAGGAATTGACATTGAATGTCAGATTTTGTCCTCTAACACTATGAATACCTTGAATTGGCTCTAAGTGGTGGTTTGTTTTCATTGTGATGTAGAATGCTTGTTCAGGAGATTTCATGTATGTAAACTGGAGCAAGGTGCCTTTTTCACTCTGATAACTGCAGCAGGCACATGACTGAGAGGTAAGTGCTGGTCCTAAATTTCTTTTTCTTCTCTTTTTTTCTTCTTCTCTTTTTTTCTTCTTCTCTTTTTTTCTTCTTCTCTTTTTTTCTTCTCTTTTTTTCTTCTTCTCTTTTTTTCTTCTTCTCTTTTTTTCTTCTTCTCTTTTTTTCTTCCCTTTTCCCTCTTTCTTCTTCTTTCTTCTTTTAACAGTAAACTGGGAACTTCTTATTAACCATGCCAACACTTGCAAATCTTTGCCATTTTCCTCTGTAGATATAGTGACTTTTGACGTGTGGAAAACACGTGAGTAACATATCCTATTTTTTAAAAAACTGCATATATTTTGGGAAACATTTCAAACTGACAACAGTGGATATGATGTGATTATTGTACTGTCTTCTTTATTGTGAGCAGTTTCACAGGATATATTAAAATTTTAAGAATTAAATTATATTTTATGAAACAACAGATTGCTTAATTTATAATTGGAGCTGGAAAAGCAGAGATGAAATCTGCTGCTTTATATTTTAAAAGATATTATGCATTCTTGTTGACCTTCAGGGTGATTAATTTCATAATGTTAATATAGTAACAAAATGCAGAATGTGTCTTGGAAATAGTTTCAAATAGTTTCAAATTAGAGGATTTTAATAAATATTTATAGCAGGAGATGGTAATAACATTGATTATGTGATTAAATCCTATGTTAGGAAGAAAAAGCCACCCACTAGGAATATAGTTTTGTCTTGCCCTTCTTTCCTAAAGGAGTGATTAGTTGAAAAATGGTTTTACTAAAATAAGATCTGAGCACAGAGGATGCTCAAAATACTCAAAATGCAGAGGAGTCTCAAAATACTTCACAAAGGAGAGGAGAAGAGCTATGCATATTAAACTGTATCTTCTTACGTTCGCATAGTTTTTTTCATCTGGCACACAGAATCGTCTTGCTTATGCTGTACATTAATTTTCTGTGTGAAGCAATCTGTCCTAAGATGTGAAATGTAAGCAGCAAAATACCTTCCTTCCATCTCCAGCAACTGGCGCTTCCTTTGTATGAATGAGCTTGGTGCCCACGAGGAGTGCCAAGCTGACAGCCGCAGTCTGGAGCCACAGAGCTGCCATTGAGCAGGCTGCAGGCGTGGGAGCGTGCCCAGCGTTGTGCAGAGCCCAGCGCCAGGCATGAGGATGTGTGGTTTATCCCCTGGCTTTGACACCTCTCGGGGAATGCCGGGGATGGCAGGGCTGGGACCAGTTGTGAGCCCAGGAGGAGGCACCTGTTCACTTGGCGCTGGAGGGAGCTGCCAGTTTGTAGCTGACAGAGCGAGTGAACTGTTTGCCAAACTGCTTTTCCTGCTTAAATCCTGTACAGATGAGAAGAAGATTTCTCATCATCTGTGTTGATGTGAGTCTCTTAAAGACAAACAAGCTAGAGAAACAGTTGTCTGAAGTGACACAGCTGATCCTCCTTTAGGACAAACAGGTAGACCTCTTGGGTCCCTTTCTTCCTTTTTTTTCTTCCGTAGAGGGAGGTGGCCCTATTACCAGATATATACGTGTACATATATATCATTCAGTATCCCAACCTGGAAATAAAACATTTTCTAGATACAAGACATTTATATGAGCTGGCACCATATATGATATGCATGCTTTGCAGTCATGACCACCCTACATGTTTCCTTAATACTGAGAAGAGCATCCAGTTTGAGGGAATCTAAAGGGTGGATAGCAGGCAGCAGTGCAAGTCCTTTGTGCTTCAAAATTTATTCATGCCTTTCCCCATACCACAAAACAATACGAGGAGGACCATTTTGGGTTTTACTTCAGTCAGGTCTTCTGGAAGGACATTGACTCTTGTTCTAATTTTTTCTTGCCATGGAGATGGTATATCTAGCATTATTTAGCTTCTCCTCTGATTCAGGTCCTCTGATTTCAGGAGGTTTTATTTGATTGATCCTGGTTGGCATTAGTGAGATCCAGGACTGGCATGCTGCTGACTGATGGAGATGGTTGAATTCTTGCTGGCTGCAGTCACTGTTTCATTGACTCAGCTGACAAGGGTGTCATCATTCACCTAGATTTATTTTCTTCCCCTTGCTGCATTTTTCAGCAAAATCTTAAGTAGCTGAAGAGAGTACTCCCTTTAAACTCGACATTTTTTGAAGTCTGTAAGCATAAGAAGACGCTCATTGTTCAGTGCTCCTCCACAAAGAATCCTTCTAAATCCTGACGGTGTGCATTCATCCCTAGGTTGAGCCTTCCTATGCACAAGAATTTTGAGTTGCTTCACATTCCTTCATAAATGCACATAGGGTAATACAACAGACTTTTTCCTTTTAAGCAAGCTGATCAGTTCTGACTTCCAACTCCATTAGAAAACCCCTGTGGTAGCTGAGAGCACCCATTAATGTGAACAAACTCCTGAAGTCTCTTCAAGTATTTGCTTTGCTGTGCCATTTAACTGTTTACAAAGCCTGGAGCTTTGCTCTTGATACACAGTCAATATAAGGAAACAGACTAAAAATTGTTCCTTGTAATGCAAATATATTTGTGGTGTTCTTGTAGAAGACAATGTGTTGCATCTCATGAGGTTACCCCAGTCAAGGCAATGGTAACGTCTGAGACAGTACCCATACACAATATTTTGTGTGGGGTTTGGTTTAAGGCAGAGTTTTGAAGTTCAGTGAAGCAGTCCTGTCACTGTGCTATTGCTTGGACCTCGTCCAAGCCATTTCTCTTACTGCTAATCCTTCATGCTTTTACCTTCACAACCCTACTTGTCCAATTCCAATTGCTGAAATCCAGGCCCAGACAAAATACCACTTAAACATGTACGTAAGTCCTTGTTCCCCTTCTGAACCACCTCCTACAGCCTGTGCTTGTTCTAATGGGGACCTCAAGGTATCACTGCACTTACTCCCTTATTTTAAAGGAAAAAGAATGTATATTTTGCAGAGCTTTAAGTCTCTGAATCAGGCTTTTATTTCTTCTAGCTGGAAAGTATGGTTTCTGGGGAAAAGAGCTTGCTAGCTGAGCAAGTTCAAAAAGATCTTAGCAGTTCCCCAGCAATTACTCATTTCATCAATCCTCTATATTTAAGGTGAGCTAAACCAAGTTCTTTCCTATAATGTCTACTTCAAATAATGCTGCTTTACATTTGGAGAGCCAAATAAGGAAATAGAACATAATCTTCCAGGAGTTTTTTTTTCCCTTTTAGTTCGCGTAACTCAGAGACTTGCTGTAACAAGAGCCCTCCTTTCTATGAAACCTGTTTAACATATTCAACTAAACAAACTATCTCCCCCCAAAAAGCATGAGCGTTTTCTGCGTGCCTTGCTCTAGCGTTGGCTCTTGAGGACATTTCAGCATTTGTCAATGTACTAATTGAGCAATGCATTGTGGACAGCTTCTGTGTTCTGATTTGTTGTGCTTTTTTTTTTTTTTTTCCCCTCCCTCCCTTCTTCCCCTTTTAATTTGTCTAGGAGATAAAAAGCCCCTCCAGTGTTGTTTCCTGCAAAGACCATTCTTAAGAGCTCGTTGGACAGCGCAGGGCTCTTGAAGTGATAGCTAATTGGTGAAAGAAAGGCCCCGATTGTCTGGAGGGAGCTGGAAAGTGCTGCGTGTGCTGCTGAAAGGGACTAGGGAGAAGGTGCCTGGTTTCGCTGAGCAGCTGCTGCTGGAGATGTTTGGAGATTACATCAGCATTGGAAAAAAGGGGCAAAAAAAAAAGTCCAACTTCACAGAGACGGAGTTTATGGAGTTTTTTTTTCCCCTTCCAAAGGTCTTCTGACAATGCTGTCATTGTCAATATAAGAGTTGTTAATTCTTCATGAATAGCACATGGGGCCTCTTGACTAAATGGTACGTTACATGTCCCAAATCTGTCAGCTGGGCTCTTCTCTCACATGCTAGTGAGATCACTTTGATTGGAATGTTACAGGAATTGCTGGGCTGGCCGTGCAGAATTGAATGCTGCATTATATAATTAGATCTCCCAGAGTATTTTTTTGGCATTACCTCATTATTCTAGCTTAAATATGGAATCAGCCCTTTTGATGATTTTACTGGTTGTAATTATATTAATACGATTCATTTTGTGGTCCTGTCTTAGTGCTTACATAGATTACAAACTGTCTCGAAGGTTTCCTGACAGGAAAAAAGAGCGCTAAGAGACTCAAAAGGCTTCTTCAGATTTCAACTGACAACGAGGACAATTGGACAAGGTAAATGGGCCTAGAGCAGATTTTACCTTGGCCTCTGAGGAGAGAGAAATAACCAGTTGAGACTGCAACTCAATGAAGATCCTTCAGAAGGCCTCATGCTGACAGAGAGGGAATGGAAACCGCAACAGCTGATTGAGTCAAACGACTTCCTATCAGACTAGAGCAAGAATTTGTTGTTGGGAACAGGACTGTGGACGTTTGCCAGTTAAACGATCTGGACAAGCTGGAAGGAATCCTATTGTTGGGCAGTCCAAGGCTGACAGTGGCCCAGTCTTGCTACGTGAAATGTGATGGCCCATTGCCTGTTGGACAAGCTGCTGGTCTACACGTTAGGATGTCAGCTGCACACCCTGCCTGGATGCAACAACTGACGGTGCCTGAATGAGCATGGAGATTATTAACCCAGCTCAGGATCTACATCTAATGCAAAGTGGATTTTTACATGATTGACTTGTTGCTAAATTCCTCCTGTGGTTTCTCCCTGTCAGTCAGATCAGAAGCTGGTTATAACCTAATGATTGCCATTCTTGTCAGGTGGTATATCTGAGTAACAGTAGTGGTTGAACACCACTGGGGTAGTCTGTTCCATGAAAAACAGATCTGTGCGTTACGGTTTGTCTGACAGCTCTGCTTCAACAATACTGGGCATGGGAGCATATGATAGTGCTTAGAGGCCTTGCAAAGTAATTTCTCTTCTAGCCTTTAATAAGGAGGTACCAGGACATGGAAAGCTTTGACTACTCACCCAAGGCAGGAGTGACTTAAGATTTTTTGCTTATTGCATCTTGTAAAGTGAGACGGGGCTTCAAGCAACCTGCCTGCTTTCAGATGGATGCTACACTGAGTAAAACTGCAAAAAATGTTGCTGTGTGTGCAACACAATTTAACATCAGCTTTTAAAAACTTGGTTTTCCTATAGGAAAAGTAGGAAAATTGTATTGCTTTGCCTGAGAAAGAAAGTTGAAATGTGGTTTTTTTGGCCCAGTCCTCTCTGGTATTCTTTATGCCATGCAGAAGTGAAGGCTGCCGCTCTGAGAAATGTCTTCAAAACTCTTAGTAGCTCACATAATATCAGAACAGCCTAGGTAAAAGACCAAAACATTTCCATGAGAAGTTTTTGGCACATTCATGACTCTTACAGGCTTGTTCATTAGTAACTATTGATCAGCCTTTATCACTTTGTCATTTGAAGCCTCCCATTATTCAGACGTGAGATATGGTATTCTTAAACTGGAACAGAACAAATGTCAGGCCAATTGATTTCAGTCTCAGGCTTTATTTGTGGTAGGTGATCAATCTACAAAACTGTTTGCAGTGTCTGAAGATGCATGTCATTGACTTGAAATCTAGCTAGTAAATAAATTAAATGTAGATGTAACTAACCCTCTTGTCTGTCTCTGTGGCTCCTAATTTTAGTGATGATTCTTATATTTATTTTTTTGTTCCCCAGTACCAGCAGACCACAAAGGGAAAGTGAAATGTCTATTTGCTGTGCAAGCATACCTATGATAATAAGTAACTGGAAAAATAGGCACGGCGATCCATCTTCTGTCAGTTAAACACCGCTATTCTTAGTTCTTGTACATCTTTGTGAAGAAAATGAAACTTGCAGAGAAATTCATAGTGCTTTTAAAAGCAAATCTTCTAATCCATTATTTTGATTATATTGAAATATACTTAAAAGTGTCATATTCATATTCATCATTTAAAAATGTGAATGTAATGAGACGTGGACTAATGTCTTTATCATTTGGTGAAATAAGGAGCTGACACAAGTGTGGAAATTGCATCTTTGATCCCTTTATTCCCACAGAGTAGAATCTTGAATTTTCCACGTAAATCGGAGATTGTGGTCTTGTTATAGACCATAATCTTATGGCCAGATTTTCACTGATTTCTGTGGTGCCATTAGTATGAATGGCAGGATGGAATCATCAGAACGTCTTAATGTTTGAGTTGCCATAGCCAATCTCCTTCAGTGGCTTACTATTGGTGTGCAGGGATAGCGGGCCAGTACTGGGAGAACTTACTGACTGGTAGATGTAAGGTGTGGTAGGTATCTATCCTGTAGGTGACTGCTGTTGTGAAACTCAGTATTGCCAGATATGGGGAACAGCCTGTCAATTCACTGGTTCTGTTTGTGTTTGTCTTTTTAAATTGTTTAATTTACTCAAGATACAAGAATTGCACTGATTATGTTATGGTCAGTGTTTGTCATAGGATTGATCTTCATCCTACACAGGTAAAACTGGCTGGAACCCTGAAGAGTTTACTAGAACATCAAAGCTTTGAGGCACATATGATTAATAAAGAAAATATTTTGTCTTAATAAAAATTTTACTGATTTAATTTGGTTGTTTTGAAATTCATATGCACTGAAAGTAATTTTAATGCCTTGAAGTTCTGCTTCTGGTGTCTGAAAGCCCATTGTATCTTTCTGCTGATGAGGGTTTTTGTGACAGAACTTATGGTGTCCTCTAATTTAACCATCTGTCCAAGCTAGATTGTCACTGCGCTTACAAGTTAGTTTCTCTTTACATGAAAGTGCAGCAGAAGAAAATTTTGGTGAATAAATCCTTCATATCAAGTACTTGTACTTTATTTAAAATCTACCCTGAAGCCATATTTCAGTGGGAGTTGAATGAACGTGACTGGAAACCACTCTAAAGTCTTTTTAAAATTGATTTAATTTCAGGTATTCATGAAGATTCTTAGGCCCCACTGGTTTTGCTTGTGTTTTAGAATATTTAAGAATAAGTCTGTGCTTAAGAGCAATTTTGAGCCACGGGCAGAGTGAATGAAGACTGCAGTGTGGAACCCCCTTTCAAGACGTGAAACCAAGGTATATGTAGAGAAATAGAAAAAATATCACTTAATATCGTGATGATATACTGCATCAGGTACTGTGTTACCATTGTAACCAACAACTAATGTTGGCCTTTTGTAGCAATACAAAAAAAAGACATGATCACAGAAACTTACATGCTACCTGTAATACAATTAAAAAAACCCTCTGTTCAGTATTCCACTGTTACTCAAAAAAACTTGCATGTGAAATAATATCTGGAGTTTGTTTTTGCTAATCTAGTAATGTATACATACAAAAAAATTTATGTATTTTTATATAAAAAAACCCTGTAATCATTGAAGTGTATGACATATGGATGCAGAACTGTTCCTGCAGTACTGTAACTGTTTCATACTTTATAGGATTCTGCTTCATTTTGACTGAAGGTGGTTTGAACAAAAGTGGGAGTTAGTATGTAAGTAGTAATTATCTTTCTTTTGTTAATGCAGATTATCATGACTTCTGGTACCTGAATTTCTACCTCTAAGATCAATCTAAGTCTGTCTTACAGGTGATAATAGGGTCAATTTTAAACATGGTAGAGCGTTTATGAACTTTCTGTGGGTATGAGTACCAGCATGTATCTGCATGTATTTTTATATGGGAATGTTAATATTTTATGCTAACAGCCTTTCCCATATTGCTATGCTCCTCAAGGTTGTATAGTTCTTGAAGAAAAAATGACTGGCATTAAGCTACTTAAGTAAATGAATTAGCAAAATTCTGTTTGCATGGCTGAATATTAGAACAGTGTAAAAATATAAAAGCCATTTTCCTGGTACCAGTGGTACCACATATCTAAATTTGCTCCCAAACCAAATAGCCATTTTGAAGTTCCACAATTGATACTCTGTGATATTTCTTTTTCACCAGGACTCAGAATCTTTCTGACTCATAAAAGCTCAACTGATTGTAAATATCCTGTCATCTGCTAATGTAATTCCTGTTTGACATTCTGTAATGTGCACAAAGTTGGCATTATGGACTGCATTATGGTATGGAGAACTAATTACTGATAAGCTCATAGTCTGATGAGTACGTAATCATATTTATTGATTAAATGAGGTCTATAATTTTATTTTGCAGTGTCATTACAATGGCATCCACTTAAACAATTACTGTCAAACCGTGTAAACCAAACTCCAGTAGGAGTCCCTTAAATAGATCTGGCGATGCAACAGGTGGTCTAATTACTTTAGGTAGGTCCATTACAGCAGGCTTCAGAGTGGAGAAGGTGGAGACCCAGGAAAGGGATACGATTAGGTTGGCTCTTGCAGAAGGAATCTGGACAGATGGAGGCCTGATAGCTTTGTTGGCTAACCACCTACAATGAGCTGCCACATCACAAACTGGTTTTGGGGGGAAATCTTGTAACCAGTGCTGATGCCCTTGTTTGTGTTCTATGGCACAGCTCTAGGAAACAGTAGAATACAGTTAGAATCTCTCTAGATTGAACAAGGCATCAGACTGTAGGACAATTAAACAGTAGCAGCCTCACTTCTGTTATTTTAGCAGAAGCCCACAGTAAAGTCATAAAATGTGATTGTTTTATGCTTGATTAATGCCAAAGTGGGTGACCTTCCAACTTGGCACCTCATTACAGGTGGTGCTAATAACAGCATCTAATACCAAGGCTTCGAGGCACTTCCAGTCCTAAAGCCCTATTTTCAGCTGTTCACAACTTTGTCAAAATCTCTTTTCAAGCTAAAACTTTCCATGTTGTATGTCTGCCTTGGGCTGAATACCCTTCAGAAAGTTCCAGCCAGAATGGTTTAGTACCTTCCAAGAACAAGGCAAAAGAAAAAATACATTGTTTTACCCCTGCTAAAAAAAAAAATACTGGCAATATTTTCTCTGACAAGATGTAGTTGTCCCATTCTGGAATGCAGTACTGGTCAGGACTGTTTTTTTCCCTGTCAGGGATATATAACTCTTTTTCACATAAAGGAAATTACCAGAATATGTGCTTGAAATTCAAGGAGGACAAGACCAGATCTCATCTGGGGAAACAAGGATAAGGAAATTGTCAGGATAAAACCCCATAACTATAATGATATTTTAGGCAAAGGAGGAAAGCAGGCTGTGAATATTTGCTGGAAGGTGAGCTAGACTGCACTATGCAGGATGAAGGGTGAAAGGAGCCATTTGATGGGTGAGAAACAAGGCCTGTTCAGGCAAAGGGACTGGGACAGAAGCATTAAACTGCTTGGAAGGAACTGGAGGAAGCTGTACAGACCTGATAAGGAGCGACGGCATGTCAAATAGAGCTAGAAATAAGTGGGAATTTATGCTGAAATGGGAACAGTGAGGAGGTGGGCACTGAGGCTGCATAGAGGGGCTGAAAGCAAAACCCTTGTGAAAGCAGGTGAAGGATTGGCTGAGCACCAGACTGAGGTAGCAGACAGATGGGAGAGTTTGGGCTGGCACCCAACAGGCTACACACAGGACAGAAGTGCAGGCTGAAATAAATGATAAGGCTGGGCCTGGGAGGCTAAGGCTTACCAAGCTAAGTGATTTGACCTGGAAAAAGAGGTCTAGAGAACTGCCAATGGAATAAGAACTGGATAAAATGTCTGCTCGACCAATCTCCCTTTGTAATATTGATATTATTCCTAGGATACGAGTTTCATATTATTTTGGTTATCAGAAAATTTCTGTGAATATCCCTGTCAAAAATTCCTCTGTCACATCTACCATCTATCTTCAGCATGAAGTGCTCTGGATGTGTGTGCTCTGTGTTGCTGCTGAAACGGAAGTATCGGGGTAGTCCTGTCTGCTGGGCATCTACCGAGCTCCATTAACAGGATGCAACAAAGTTAAATACTGAGATTAAGACAGTGATAGAATTAAGGCGTTATGTGTAATTGTTGTTCTGCCCTCTGGGTTTACAGTCGTAAACCACACTTTTCCCACAGGTTCTTTTGCTCATTTATTGCACTGGCTGTAGTGCTCAGTGATTGAAGCTCGTGGCAGCGATGCACTGAATGTACTAGGAAGATGGAGAGAGATAGCTTTAAGAAAACTAATGTTTTGAGGGGAGTCATGAGAATATTAGTTCTTTCTTTGCCTACTGTTGAGTTCTGAGTGAAAAAACCATGGAGATGTTTTCTTTTGCTTGTTGTCTGCTTACCTGGAGATCTAGGTATAAGGTACTTATGTGCTGAGAAATAGCTACTGCAGATTAACTCAGTTTAACAAGTAAACAGATACCAGTTTAACAAGTAAATTGGTACACTCAGAATTTAAATTCTGAGAATCTGAAGTGAGATACTGTCCTGTTCTTAATCTCTTTTTAAATATCTCCTGTTGGTCATGATGGGACATGGTACAGAGTTAACTGGACCAGTGGTCTGATTCTGGAGTGTTCTACTCTACTGGTCTTTGCATTTGCAGATGCAAACAGAGTAATTCTTTTTTACTTTGGTTTCTTCAATCAGCATCTACAAAACTTATAAATGTTGAAGGATGCTTAAGAGGAAATTATTCTTGCACAGAGGAACAAGCATTGATGATCAT